AGTATAAGTCGGGAATCAAGAATGCTTGATTTAAAAGCCTACCCATAGTATATGATTACTTTAACGGTTAATTAGCGTTGTTTAATAGAGCACGTAAAGTGACAGAGAGGAACATTAAAAGTCACTTTGAAGGTTCGTCGCAGTGTACGATAACAATTGGATAATATTGCAGCCACGTGTCTTGCATCATTTTTATTTCTTGTTATGGTACTAATAGGATCTAACTATCGCATGGCAGAAGGATAGATCAATTTAAATCGACTATGTCGATTTACTGGCAGTCGGACATCGCAAATGGGACGTCGCATAATACTATCAAAATAAATTACTCTAACTCGTGTAGTTATGCATTTTGTAAGTTGCACTGAGAGAAAAATATTTGGTATTTCTGTGATTATAATTGTATGGTAAAATATGCTTATGATTCATTTTTATATTACTGCTGTAATATTAGTAATAATAATTATATTTATAGTTCTATAAAAGAATATATAATTAATACCGAAAGTGACTATAAATTATAGTTATTTTTTTCAGTATTATATTGTTTAAGCGAACATTTTAAATATTTAGAAAGTCTCGCGACTCGGATAAATAATTTAATCAAAATTAATTCAAAATTTTAATGTGCTCAGAATTATCATTATCTTTTGTCGTATGCCCGCAAATGGTCATATTGTTGATCAAATATTTGTACTTGCTTGTAAACAGATTGAGTAGTTTGCACTAGGAAGAAATAACTTGCGATATGCTTGAATCACAAGGTGGAATTCAACTTGTTAGCATACCACCGCTGCATGAAGCGCGACATGTATGGTCCGATTAAGTCCTCTTAAGACCATGGTGATCAAACAAAATGTGAGTCATTGTATTCGTTCGCGTTACAATGAATTGCGTCCGTATAGCTCATCTATAATTAATTTCGCCTCAGCGTGTTAAGTGCCTGGACGCATTGACTTGCATTTTTACTGTGCTCCCGTTTTTTTTCGCATATCGATCTCACACATCTGCTCAAGTCTGCGTTACGCCAAAATACACCCAATCGCAGGCGATATTAGAAAATCGCACACGCCAGCTATAATTATTTCCAGTCATCGAACGTGAAGACACGAATCTTTGCGCTTGCGAAAGATCATGATACGCATATCTTTAATCAATAGGAATGTGTTAATTAGATATTTGCATTATCTTCGAAAAGATATGTCGCGATCGAATCCTTCCGAGAGTAATCTATTTAAAATAAGACTTTCCATTCTTGACGAGTACGGATACAGAGTATTGCTGTAATTAGAAAGTATAATCGGTGCCGTATGTTCGGCGCTGCCAGGGGTCTTTGTCCGAGCGTTTGCTAACTTCCTTGATATTAATTGACAATTTATTATGATAATCAAGTATACGTGTCAATTAATGAATGCAGGAACATAAGCATGACCGTTCGCGGGCAAAGCACGAATCTATGTATCCGCGAGGTTGGTCACGTTTTAGCTAATCTGGTTTCACGCTCCAACAATTATGCTCCGAGAGGCGCCTTTCTACATTCCACTGTAATAATCACAAATCGCTCTACTAATATTCGTATGTACTATTTTCATGTTATAATATTTTATTATGGAATTGTAGAATAATTTCGATATAACGTACATTTAATAATCGGTGATGTCGAGGCATCTCAAACTGGGCATTTATGATCGATGCGCATTCGTCTGCACTTTCTTATACAGTAATACAGCAATTTACGTCAGTTGAACGCAATTACCGTAATTTATCACACTTGATTACATTCATTTATATTCAATATGTGCGTGAGAAAATTGTTATATAGTTTAAACAATCATGTTAGTCTTGAATTTTTATATACGCATATAAACGTGTGCATCATGTGTCTATTATTTCACGGTATAAATCTGATGTCCGTTTAAATATGTAAATGCAGTTAAATAATTACACTTTCACGATAATCTAGCATTTGTGCCATTATTTCACGATATTTATTTGATGGGTTTTTATGTGTAAGTACAGTTAAATAAATGCACTTTCACGATAATTTAGGATTTGCGCTGGTCTGAATATACACGTGAGGGCGCAATGAATTAACAAGTTAAAGGTAGACTTCCATAAAAATGCGGGTTGATTTTCTAGTGTCAATTAACGACATTGCGAGACACACGAAACACTTCGGAAGCGGAAGTAGAGAATGCGATATCACATGTGGACTTCTAAAGGAACTGTGCCGCGAGATAATGGCTGTTGGGTATATAAAATTTAATAATCACCCTTATGTGCACGCGCATGTATAATGCGTAAAAGGGTCGCACGCCTATTTGGAGAGGATTATACCCTGTGTCGAAACGGCCCCTCTGATTAAACGACTCGAGGAGAAAAAAGAAAAGAAAGAGGGAGAGATGTATCATGACCCTTGAGGCAATATTTCACATGCTCTACAAACCGCTTATAATCATGAAGATGGACCGGGCGCAAATCGATCTGTTTCGATAGAAGATTCAATATCCTGATTGGAAAGTGCGCAAACCGTACGGAAGTAAAAAAGTATTGTCGACACACGCGTGAATTTACGTTGATTTACGATTTGGATTGGCTATCACTTTATGGAATCCGGTTTGCAACGGTCCTCGCAATTACGTTGCATTGACATGCATCGAGAGAACCGTATATGCTGAATATCGATGATTTTAGCACTTTAGGGTTTTATTTATTCACGGCTTATTTCTGAAAAAACGATTTTTGGAGAATGTTACTTTAATCAACGCATGATGTTAATAATATTAAAAAGATTAGGATCGTTTGTGTGTTGCAGATGAAAATAAAGTGAATATGAGTTCTACTGTGCTATTAATAATAAAAAAACTTGAAAAATATATATAAGTAAAAATAAACACTATAAAGTAACACTATAAAGTACGATAAATTAACTGGACGATAATTCTTTACTCTATACGGATTGTTACTCTCTATACGAGATTATATATTCATACTGCTAGTACGTTATTCTTGAGATTACTAGCAGCGTGAAAAAAATACAATATTGCACGTGTCACATAATTCTCTCACGAGTTTCGTGCTTCGACGTGAGGCGAGGGGAAAAATAGTTCTGATAATTCGAGATTCTTGGGGGAGTCAGCCACGTGATACATGTACGTGAACAAACGCCATCAGGGTGAACGAAGATCATCCCGCGTAACACGTGCTGCGTCCAATGATCGATCGTGAAAAAGATACACAGCCGTTTCGTGTAATTATATTTCCAAGGACGACAGAATTTGATTTATAAATTTATAGGTATAGGATACATATAGTACAAGATTTATCGTTGAATTAATAAGTCATGTCTGGTTCCTTTAAGAGATTAATGTGCAATTATTGTTGAAGATTAATGTACACTTATTGTAAATATTCTTAAGGGGATGCTGGAGTGAAAATTATCACATTACAGTCGTATAAAATTCGAATTGACTGAACGGAATAAAAAATCCTTTTATAGGATTAAAGTAGACGCAAAATTAGGAGGTGATGCAGTGGACCTTGTAAAATCGAAAAAAAGTTAAAAAATGTTTTATGCGATTATAATGTGATAATTTGACCACTCCAGTATCCCCTTAACAATTACACTTTCAATGCGTCAGAAATGCGTCAACGGACTTCTTGAAAAAGATAACGAAATAAAAACATTTTTCTTTAATTATCTACATGTATCTGTTTTCTTCCTTTTCTAAATATTGCCAGTATTTAAATTATTAAGTGAGATACTAAAGATGTAATGAAGTAGTTCATTTCATTTACGTTCACAATTTATAATCTATAGCTATAATCGTTTTACTGCATTATAAAATATAGTAAAAATGCAATAACTACAGTAAAGTGTAATAAAACTTTTAATAGCTTGCCACTGTATCCCCAGGTCATTCATATTCGAACTTTGCACATTTCTCTTCTCTGCCCAACATCAGTAACGCATCTAAAGCGCTTACGTGCTGCACACTTTCTACTTACGATATTAAAGTGTCTCACGGCACTGCGGGAGACGTGATATTTTATCAAGGTGCAACGTGACGCGTATCATGCCGCCGACCGACGTTACGTGCGAAATACTTTCTTCTCCGTCGACAGAAGTCTCCTCGAACGTCCCTCGCACATCTCATCTCGAGCGTCTTCGTTCGCATATTAATGCGTTATCATGTATACCTAATAAGTAAACCGCTCAGAGAAATTTCTTTCAATCGCGGACGACTTATCACGAGCGCGTTACGTAGTAAATATTGCGCGTAATCGTGCGTGGAACGCATACGATTCTTATCCACGACGGCAGTCTTTCTCCAAGATCGCATATTGTATCCCGAGCTATATCGTGGGACGAGATATGAGAGTGTCTTTCGTCACGGATACTCGATCGAGCAGTTCATGCTCCAGGATGCAGCCGAGCCGTGTCTAAGTGGATTTCACGCTCGCACGAATGCGAGAGTACGCGTGTATCATCGCGTTGAGATGCGTTACGCCTGCGGAACGAGCGTGCACGCGGGATTTTCTGTGTAAACGCACGTGTTAGCCATCCGGACGAGTTGACGGTGTTGTACGGTAGCGGCCGGTACGAACCCTCGGGCTTATCGCGACATTATTTACCCCCATATGTCGATTTATGGCCCTTCCATTAGGGACGAGTCCGCCGGGCACCGCGGGAGATCTACAATTCCGACGCCAGACGGAACCGGGGGATATCGTCTCATTGGGAGATTCTTGTTCTTTATCACGCCCTTAGTTATGAGTTGGTGAATGAAATATTCGTCTGACTTCCGTTACAACCTTGTATTCATCGCGAAGTTCTAAATGAATTTCTAGATGAAGTTCCGAATGGAACTCTCCGGCAGTAATGAACAACGCAGGAATGTACCGCATCAGATCTCGCCGAATTAATATTTCATACTGATATAATAGAAACCTGAATGCATTTGTCATTTTGATTTGTGTTCCTCTTCTTTGTGTTACAGAGACACCTGGACAAGGGAAGCGATCTTGCCGAGGCGGCGAGCACAAGCGGACTTCGGGAACTCGCGAGATCTTTGAAGCAGCACCTACGAGGATTCGGCTCCCGCTTGGAGGATAGACGGGAATACCTGGAGGACACATCGAGATGTTGTCTCCTGCAGGATCGCGCCTACGAGTGGGCGCAAGAAGCTCGTCTGGCAAGCGAGAGGAGATCTCAACAATTCTTGATGGCGAGGCCACCTCTACCATCCGAACATTTCACCGAGATGATGGCCCTGGCGGAGAAGCTCGGTAACGAAGTCCTTCTAGAGCAATGTCGTATCGCCCGAAATAAATGCGCGGAAGCCCTCGAGGTTGCCAGAACCACATCCGCTCCGGGAAGTCCTGCGAGGAGAAGATCCTTCACCGCTTCCGAATCGACTTCTTGGGACGACACCTTGGCTAAAAGTAAGACTCCTTCTTCTTCTTCTCTTTTTTTAAAGCCGTTGCGAGAAGATCCACAGGTTGAGATTAAATGTATTCCAGGGACGTCTTGGGACGATAGCGACAGCAGCGCGTCTTATGCTTGTCCGATGGAAAGCGTTGGATCAGGTGGTAGCGGTGGTCGACCGGTGTTGGACAACATCGCCGAACTTCGAGAGAGTGCCGAGCAGCTTCTAGACTGTTCGCCACCTCGTACACCTCCGCGAAGCCCGGCACCACGAAGGCTGGTCAAGCCACCAGTAAACTCGCACCTTCACAGATCAGCTAGTATCGCGCCAGGAATGAAGGCGAAAAAGTATGATACTTGTACATCTTTAATATATCAATTCTTTGTCTTTTATCCTTTTGTCATTTTCCAAGATTAATTTGCAGCGAAAATTTCGAAGAAAATTAAGAATTGATAAAATGAATAAAATGAATAAAATAAATTGAAATAAAGAAATATTTTAATTAGTTGTAAAATAGAACAGTGAAATCATTAGTAGTCTAGGTACGACATTTTATTGCTGTGTCATTACTATTTTAATAGCGATCCATTGTTCCACCTTAATTTCCGTTATGCCATCGTACCGATTGTTATACGATCGTAACGAAGAATTTCACCTTGCAGAACAATACTGCTCATAATGAGGGAGATGATACAGACTGAACGAGACTACGTGAAGTCCCTCGAATATATAATAGAGGTAATTATATGTACATATCGTTAAAGCTTATTCTCGTGTAATTTCATTATTTATTGCACGTGCTGAGTAACATTTGTAAACTTTTTTTGCGAAGAACTATATTCCGGAACTCGTACGGGAGGACATCCCACAGGCTCTCAGAGGACAGAGAAACGTAATCTTTGGGAATGTTGAGAAGATATATGAGTTTCACAGTCAACACTTTCTACGCGAACTAGAGCAGTGCGAGCAATCGCCCATGCTGGTGGGACAATGCTTCCTCCGACACGTAAGCATAATCTATATCACAGTATAGCGAAGTTCTTGATAAATCCAAGACATAAAAAGTAAAATGCCACGTGAAAACAACTTTCTTGCAGGAAAAGAAATTTTATCTTTACGCCTTGTACAATAAAAATAAACCAAATTCCGACTCGCTAATGGCAGAATACGGCACGAGTTTCTTCAAACAGAAACAATTAGAATTGGGAGATAAAATGGATTTAGCGAGCTATTTACTGAAGCCAGTTCAACGAATGGGAAAATATGCCTTGCTGCTTCAGCAGCTGGTCAAAGCCGGCACAGATTTATCGGAACAATTGTCTGGCAAAGAGGAGAAGGAAGAAAAGGAAGATGGTATGAAACCGATGGTCGAAGGTGAAGCGGATTTGAGGGCTGCCGAGCAGATGGTGCGATTTCAGCTTCGACATGGGAACGATCTTTTGGCAATGGATTCGCTTCGTGATTGTGACGTAAGTTTCATTTTGTTATGTTTAAAGTAATAAAATAAAGTTGATAGATATTCACTTCAGCAAATAAGTGAGGATTATAATAATTTATATAATTATATTACACAATATAAAAGATGTGATATTATTATTTCGTAGGTAAATGTAAAAGAACAAGGCAGGCTGCTGCGGCAAAACGAATTTTTAGTTTGGCAAGGAAAAGGTAAAAAATGCCTGCGTCAAGTATTCCTGTTCGAAGATCTTATACTCTTCAGTAAGGCAAGAAGATTTCCCGATAGGAAGGTAAGATTTTCCACATATGACTGCGTGTACATTTTAATGCTATATTTTTATTTTATTTTATTACTTATATTTTTTCAGAATCTTGATATTTACATCTACAAACATAGCATTAAAACGACAGATATTGGCTTAACCGCCGTTATCGCAGATTCGCCTACAAAATTCGAAATCTGGTTCCGCAAGAGGAAACCAGGAGATACATACACGTTACAATGCGCGAGTGAAGATATTAAGAAAGCCTGGTCCGAGGAACTGAGCAACCTTCTGTGGAAGCAGGCGCTTCGAAACAGAGGTGATTCGCTATCTTTGTTACGTTTATATAAAAAATGTATAACATATATTTGGAAGAGCGCAAATTACTATCGATAATGTTTCACTTTTTAGAAGTGCGCCTGGCGGAGATGTCGAGCATGGGCATTGGGAATAAGCCGTGTTTAGATATAAGGCCTAGTGCAGATCAGATAAATGATCGCTCCATCAGTGTGGCTCAACTCTCTAAGAGTGAGTATAATTTATGAATTGTCGAAAATTATTAGTTTATATCACTTATGAATGTTAAGATAAATATTTTAATTTGTCTGTACAGCACCTAGATTTAGAAATTCTATAGCAGTGTCAATGACGGAGGATTCCAGTCGTTGCAGTAGAAGGCCGCACAGCGTAATTTCCGTCAGTTCGTCCTCGAGCAGCGGTGGAAGCAGCGGTCCTCCTACGACGCTTAATCTTGGGTTAGATACGAGTCCACGACCGCATCATCGTAGTACTACACTGAACAGCCAATGTAGCGTAGGTGAGTGCCGCGTTTTGATCTCGGTAATCTTTCAAGGAAATTTAAGATCGATATTAATTTATTAAGTTTATATTCTCATTGTAGAAAGTGGAATTATCGCCGATATCTCAATCGTGTCGGATGATGGAGGTGATGGCACTGAAAGAAGTCATTGGAATTCAACCCTGGAAAGTCCTACGTCGCATCTACCTACAACTTCCACCCCACTACAGTCACCAACCAGCGCAACAGCGGCAACAGTTACCCCTGCTTCCTCGACGGATACGAATCTCACATCTTACGACCAAGACATGTCTATTAATCTATGAACTTTGTTCGACACGAGGAAAAAAAACAAGTCTATCATTGATTCACTTGCAAGTTTTTGTTACGATTACAAAGACGTAATACATTATCGTGGCATATTTAGATAAGTATAATGAGGTAACATCGTCGCACGCGTACTGTAGCACTAGAATACATTGTACCCTTGAGCAAATATATAGTTTAATGACGTAATGGAAAAAATATAAAGTTGCATGCAATTCGGTAGGTCGCCGCATTACGCTTAACACGTGTGCCCAGCTACGAACTTGTAATCGCATTACATAAACGTAGATTTTTATCTTAAAGTCGCGGAGATGTGGTACCGAATTTTAACATTTTTAACTTTCAAGTGAATCCGTCTGTGAATCTATCTTTTGATACGCTTCGAAATATCCAGATTTATGAGATTATAAAGCTATTACTTATGAAGCTTACTTAATAACCGGTTTCTGAAGTAATGGCAACGTGTATTTTCTTATTCCGTCTATTGATTTTACCAACGTGCTCAAGACGAGACAAACGTGTTCTATCAAATGTACGCTCACATGTCGAGGTTTGCTACAGTACCATAAACGATATGCACTTGTCGCCATCCTCATTTACATTGGCATTCCTATGAAATTTCCGATGACTTATAACAGAGCGAAAGAGAGAGAAAGTGAGAGAGAGAGAGAAAGAAAGAGAGAAGAGAGTTTTATACATTTATTTATATTATAGTTAATAAATAGTAATATTTCAATTCCACATTGTGTTCGCGCTTATCTTTATATTATATTAAGGAAAATATATGATCATCTTAAAAACAAGATGCATACAGAAATTGAAGAAAAAATATATTTTCCTTAATAATCATCCATATTATATCAATGTTATCTCTCGAGGAGATGCATCTAATAAGTTGATTATACAATATATTCAGGAATGTCAAATCAATGCGCACACATACATACCAATGTAATATAATGTAATATCAAAGGTTTATACATGTAGCCGCAAATAATATAACCGATAGTTTATATATCATTTCCAGATTATATATCAAATATATATATATATATAATATAATATTATATTCTTTTTATGTCAGAGTCATTTGTAAAACCTTTTATCACCCGTCGTAGATGTAAATCTAACTCTGGCCTGTACTCGAAAGCCAAATTTCTTTTTACGAAATACTATTATGTTTAAAAAATAAATTTGTTTTTATATACATGTGTGGATAAATGTTTTTGAACAGCTTAGGATCAATTAAAATGGTAAGCTTGCCTTAAGACAATCCACACACTATGTTCCAATGTTTTCTTTCATAACCAATTATTTCAACTATGCAGAATCGCTCATATCTTCTTACTTAACAGCTTACCAAAAATATTTATTGTAGATATAATAATTATATATCAATATTACTGTTAAAAAACTAAAATTTGCAATTAAGCAATGTTAAAAGATAATATTTGAGAAATGGAAAAATTAAGATCAATTTCATGAATCTTTAGACAGTCTTTAATACTAATTAGAATACATATGAATGAAATTATAGCTGTTTGCCAATATGTGATTCTGCATTGTTACATTTGCTTCCAAATAAGTCGATTATTTAGCCATCTTTATTGCCAAGGTCTGTCAAGGTACTGTAAGTACCTTATGGATAGTGACCAAACTGTTTATTTCATACCTTGTTTTAAGGACAAAAGTCGCAAGTATTTAGAAGTGTAGATGTAGATCATAGAGTATTACAAAGAATTTGACACAGTCCGATGCACCCTATTTTATTACGAATTTAATCACAATTTATAATGATTTTCAATCAAACGTAATTAATTGTGTTCACCTGAATTTAAATTATAACATTAGTATGCCATACGTACATCGGTGCACCTGGCTAAGCATCCCGAGCTTCGAAAGTAAAACTAAGCGTAAGAAAGTAAACAATCTCTATTTTCCACATGCTGCGAATGCGTGTTTGGTGTTGCTTTTGAATTAGGGATGTTGGAGTAACAATAATAACAAAATAGTACCTTGTAAGAAAATATGCCGATAGTCACTTAATATTATACGTTCTTAGATATTTATTAATATTTTTTTAAGTAGAACATTTAGTCTCTCTAGATTAAGTATTTCCATTATAAATGACATGTATATATTACATTTAATAACACACGATTATTTCAGTATTGTACTGTGTCTAACACCGATGTATTTTATTACTTGCTAAATATACTGTATTGGGTGCCTTTTGTAGAGAACTCAAATGTTTTTGTGAACGTTATCACACCGTATTATCTATCACGTATGTCTACCATTTCCAGTATGTAATTATTTGCCGGAATAAATATTTTGATGTTTCATATGTTTCGAATGATTATTACAATCGCCATTTCGGCCTTTATCGAGTTTTTGCACGTAGTAAAATTACTACGAATAATTTAATAATTTACTTGTAATATGATCAATGCAAGACGTTTTTATATCTTACATAATGATTTCTTAATTGAATGTGAAAAACAATATCTTCTAAGATATTTACATTGAAGTGTAAAATATATAAAGTTAATTTTTATTAATTGTGCATTTGTTAAGTTTTATTTTCAGATATGACCGTCATATTAATTCGAGAAAAGCAATTGTAAGCGGCTGCAATATTTAAAAAGTTGTGGAGTATATGCTAAATCTTAATAATTTAAAGCAGTTACAAGGCACGCGAAAGGCATGTAAAAGTCATTATTTTATAAAAGAGATATTCTCTTGTATATACCCTAATTTTAAACTATGCATATATTTAAGTCCTATGGAAAAGTACAATCATCGTGATGATACATACTAGTAAATAGATTACATATATTTTAAAAAATTTACAGTTTGAACACTAGTCATTGCTTCTTTAAACATAGAATGTTCAAATACTACGTCATACAAATTAAAAAATCTCCCCCTTCATAAAATTTTTTAAACTACACTACTTTACAAAACTCCTAAAGCATTTTAAATATGTACAAAATATGTCCACAAAAAATAAAAAATGTATAAATTAGCAATTTGCAATTATATAACAGTGCATTTCGTTTTATGTTTAAAATTAATATCACATGCCGAAAAGGTCATTGTTTGTCACAAATGTTTTTTATCTTGTTTTAAATCATCAGGACAAGAGGCAGATTTCTTAACACTTGTGAGATCTATTGTCGAATTATTTAAACGTGGCTCTTGTTTTCGCGATTCTATTTGTTTCTTTTTTAATAATGATCCTCCTGTGAAACCTAAGGACGAATAATTGCTCACAATCTTTATTTTTTATACCATTATTTCTTATATAATTATTAATATATTTTTTTCAATATCCAATTATATATATATATAATTTATATATATAATTTTATATAAATTCTCATATAACTTACCTAAAATGCCACAACCTACAGCAGCAAGACCCCCAATTTTCAGTCCAGCTATTAAACCTATTGGTCCTCCAATACATGTACCTAGCATAGCACCTGCTAGGGGATATGCAGCAACTTTATATGCAGAAGCCTTTCGCAGATAATTTGCTCCTTCAGTCACATTTATTTGAGTTTCTTCAATATTATCTTCCATATTATCTACCATCTCCTTCTGATCCTATATGATTACAAAATATATCTTTAAATAATAAAAACTAACAATCTGCTTCTCCTTCCCATGTGCTAATGCGCGAAAAATTTAGGAACTACTTTCTGTTTAATTATCTTTTTAAAACGTATCATGTAACACAAAGTGAAATTATACTCACATGTACAACTTTGTTAAATTCGGTAAAAAGTTCGTGCAACTGTTGTATATCCCCCTGCAGATGATTCCAGACATGCAAACATGTCTGTTGACGCTGTAAATTTTCCTGTTCTGCTTGCAGTTGAATACTTCTGTTGTCAAGTGGATGTTGGATCTCATCTGACTGGATCTCTTTATTTGTAGGTGACATAGGTGGTGATATGGAAAAATTCAGTTCCATTTCTGTAAACAACACATTTGTGTTCACAATAATTTCTTAGAATTTTATTGATCAAAAATCAAAAGAATATGTTGTATTATAGTTTCTTACCTAGATATTCCTTGATCGCGCTCATGATACTTGACCGTGCATTTGTTGTCAATTTGTCAAATTTACCAATGTCAACATCAAGGACCTGTGCTCTAAGAGTATCCATCTGATACAACAACTCTTTCAATTGCTTGATGATTCGAGAGACATTTACATGTTCCTTCCGTACCTGTTCCCAATCATGTTGATTTTGATACTACAAAGATTTCAATTGCTTGTATCAAAGACTTTAAAAGTATAAGACAAGTAAAACTGCATGTTTACCTTCTTAATATTGTTCTTGTGTCGCTTTAACAAATTTACATGATGTGGAATAGCAACATTGAAATTGTTGATCTGGATTTCCAGACGTCTAATAGGCTGCTTAATCGTAAGACTCTCCAATGATGTCGACATACTTCTGGCGACGTCCTCTACTTAGTTATGATGCTGTATATTTTTTTTATCTCTTTGTGGCTTTTTTGTATCTCTTTTGTGTCACAGTGTCCAAGTCTACTCTTTTGATTCCATTCTTTTTGTAGTTCACGCAATTAAATTCCTCACGACAAAAACGGTGAGACACGACAATGGTTTGGTAACTACGTCTTATTATTTTGCCAAATGCACGCGCAACTGCCCTGTCTCCGTCCGAAACCAAAATAAATGATCAGCTGTTGTCGCTGTTGATTGCGCACAAAACTGTCAGAAAAAAAACTAATTCTGTTCCCATCTGTAGTGGTGAATTCGTACTAAGCGGCTACAAGTTTTAACATAACACTGCAAGATGGCAGATAATGTATCTTTTTATGCCCGTTTCTATCAATGCAGTTTAAATAAAACCTTTGTATTAATAAAACAAGAAATCTCTTGACAAACAATTTTTTTTTTCAATTTAATATTTTTACTAATTTTTCTAATACATTTAATTATATAGAAACTATATATTTTATTATGCAGAAATGAAATTAAGGATATTCGGAAAAAATAAAGTCCAGAAATTATTTCTAAAACGTTTTATTTTGGAATTATTGATTTATAATACTTCTAAGATATTATATTTTTATTTATTTTTCAATACATTGTATGGACTCTAATACACTTGGTTAGTCTAGGAATGAGTCGCTTTAATTTATACTAGCCTTAATTGTATCTTTACTAATTTCCATACATCCGTTTCTCATATTCTGTTCGTGCCGTATTATAATTACATTTAATATTGCATTTTAATATCAACTTCAGAAAATCTTTAATTTTATCATATTTTGAGATACAATGCTTTCGTAATTTTTGTAATAAATAATTTATCAAGTTTGCACGTATTTTAATATAATGTTTCATATATAGTATGAGTATTCATATTCTAACTCTCTTTAACTCATTTTTCGTTTGTTACAAGGCTAATAAAACTACAAATAGAATTTTATCGCGAATTTCAACACGAATTATTGCACCTAGAGCGAGCTTTGTTCGTAAAATACAGGAGAAATATTGCCTCAATGAACGCGCATATTTCGCGTTTACCGCTCGTCAAAAGTGTGCTTTTGTGCAAATGATC